TTGCAAAGAGAGCCATGGAAACGTCGTCGTTTAGTCCTTCTTCTTCTCCGGCGACACTTCCGTCGTTTCTCCTCCTCTTCCTCGCCGTATACTTCATCGGTTATTTCGTGATTTTCCGATCATGGAAATCATCTCATTTAGGCGCCAGCTGCTTAATGTCACTCTTCCACGGAACTCCCGCCGTCGTAATGGCATCTCACGCGCTTCTAACAACCCCACGCGCCGCCGTAACAGAACCACACTCCTTCGCTTCTCCCAACACCGCCGTGGAATCCGCCGTGCTCGATTTCAGCATGGCTTATTTCACGGTCGATCTCCTCCACTACCTCATCTTCCTCCCTAACGATTTCCTCTTCATCATCCACCACATCGCCACGCTCTACGTTTTCGCCACGTGTAGATTCGCCGTCGGTCACGGAGCTCACGCGCTTCTCCTCCTCTTGATCCTCGCGGAGGCGACGAGCGCGTGTCAGAACGCGTGGACAATCGCTGGGTATAGGAAAAACGACGTCGATTTAGCGAGGAGAGTGAGGGAGCTCTTGTCTCCTCCTTTTTACTTGTTCTACACGGTGGTTCGTGGATTGGCCGGTCCGGTGGCTTTGTACGATATGGCGGCGTTTTACGGCAGTGGTGCGGCGGAAGGAGCGGTTCCACGGTGGGCTTGGTTATCGTGGCTCGTTGTGATTGGCTCTGCTATTTTGGTTAGTGTTTTGTGGGTTTTTCGAAATTGGGTTGATTGGTTTAGAGAGAAAAACTCGTCCAAGAAATTTAATTGAAGTTTTAAATTAATTTTTTTCCGAAAATTGTTTGATTGATACAAGTGTAGATATTAGCAGTGTGCATGTACATTTATTTGATTGTATTTGTTGTAATGTATATTAACATGTTAATATTGTACTTTTATGTGAATCTAAATCTTATTGTTCTTGTAGTTTATTGTCAACAACTTTGTGTGCATGAAGCTGTATGTGAATTTTATGTAAATATTGTATAGATAAAAGTATATAGAAATAGCAATGTTCATAATTGTAATTTTTATTTCCATTTTCTTATAGTGATTATCATTTAGAATTGTTTGTAGTACAGTGATTTGTGTTCAAATTGTTACTAT